AAGTAGAAATAACACAAAATTAAAAACTTAAGGCAACACTATGGTATGGCAACATTTCTGTGCACAGGAATGCAATCAGGATGTGATTCCTAGGTCTACTTCCTCAACTTTTCTTGAACTCAGGGAAACTTAAGTAACTATTTTTTAAGAGTAACAGATGCACATAAGTGTCAAATAAGGAAACTTTAACTTTGCAGTTTCCCAAGGAGAAGATTTACAGAGATTTTAGTCACAAGCTGCAAGGGACATCTAGAACTAATCCAAGCCTCCTGCTCAAGCAGTGTCAGTTAAAGTAGGTTACTGAGGGCCATGTCCAGTTGAGTTCTGCGTATCTCCAAGGATGGAGACTCCATAATCTCTCACTGCACCTATTCCAATATTCTACCAGACTCACAGTAAAAAAGCAGTTTAAAAAATGTTTAAATAATTTTTTTTTTTTTTTTTTGTATTTCAGTTGTATTTTTTGTTCTGTCACTGAATAACACTGAGAACAGTCTGGCTATGTCTTCTTTACATTATCCCTTCAAGTATTTTTATACACATTGATAAGATCCCCATCCAAGTCTTTTCTTCTCCAACCTAAATAATCCCAGGTCTGTCATCTTCCCTTGTATGTTGGACGCCGCTTGCTCCTAACCAACTTTCTTTAAGGCCATTGACTAGACCTGCTCTGGTATGTCCCTTTCTCTTTCCTAGGGAGCTCAGAACTGAACACAGTACTCCAGATACGGCCTCAGCAGCTCCGAGTAGAAGGGAAGGATGAGCTCCATCAACCTGCTGGCAAGATTTCCTAAAGTATCATAGGAGGCTGTTGGCCCATAGTTTGCACAAGCGCACAGTGCTGGCTCATGCTCAACTTGATGTTCACTAGAACCCCTCAGGTCCTTTTCTGCAAAGACGATTTCCAACTGGCTGGCCCCTCTCTGTATTGGTGTAGGGGTTTATTCCTCCTTAGATTCCAGACATTGCACCAGCAGTCTGAACCACAGAGAAAAATCAGTTTCAGAGTTATGTTCACACAGATGTACATTGCCATGCACCCTTGAGCTCGTCACACAGTTTTGTTTCATGGAAAAGAGCCACTGCCAACATATATATCAGACTGCCACAGAGATACTGCCAGTTCTGGTTTCAGTGTGCCAAGTGCACACATTATGTAAGTATATCAAGTGCTTAAGAATATGAAAGAACACTTAGAAAAGCGCATGCACAGTTGTGCAAAACTGTATCCTAAAGTATCTTTCTACTGACATCCCAGACTTAGTGGACTTCACCTATAAAGCTTATAAAACTGGCTTTCTATTTGATGAATTCTAAAATATTACCACTCTTTTTGATTCCATAAAACAGACTCCCTTCCAAAACACAAAGATTTTCTCCTTTCCCCCCTCATCTTCCTGTTGTTACAAGTATTTTCCATTTCTTTTCTTCTGGAAAAAATCATGCTGAATCATTTTCTTGCTGCTGTACTTTCTCCAGTTTTGGCAATTAATACAGCAAGCATGCACAGTGTAAATAATGTGAGATATTTAATTTCTGATACATTAATAAAGCAGAAAATGTGACAGAAGAACTACACCTTACTCACCTTCTTCAGAAGACAATTCATTAAAAATCACAACAAATTTTTACTGTAAGAGCAGGAATTTACCTAAAGTCCTCAGAAAACCAACACTTAAAGAAGGGTTTACTTTGCCTTACATTCCTAGAAGACTATCAACTAAAACAGGATATTTCAATTTAGATTATTTTTACTTCTAATCTTTATTCTCCTTTGATAGAATTTACTATTTCTCCCAGAAAAATAAATAAGAAAGTAAATAAAGAAGAGGATGTAACATCTGTGAGGCCCTATTAACTTGCAGACTTAATCTGGAGTTTCCTTTTTCAAAAATATTTTAAAATATATTAATTTTAAACACATCACAGTGTAAAGACATCCTTATTCAACCTCAGCATTTTTTGAGTAAGAGACCTTCATACTTACACAAATCCTGAAATCTTCTGAGAATTCATATTCGTCAGACACAAATCCATCAGATGCAACTTTTGCTTACTGATTCCTACGTAGTGGCAAAAATATGGGAGAAGGCGTTGTTCTATAGTTTTTGTATGCTTGTTTATTTTTTATTGAAATCTCTGCTATGAGCAGCTGTCAGATTTGAGCTAGATGGGGGTGATATGGTCTAATTCAGTGTGGACTTTGTAAGGTTTTATGTTTTCTTGCTGCTTCCTCATCTTTTTCAAAATATTTTTTGTTTTTATTTCTCTCAGTTTTTAAAATATAAGTGTGACTTTTACTTCCTTCACTTCCATAGCTCAATCTCCTTTTGCTGGCATATCAGTGTATACTTTTCCTACAGGTAGACCTGCAGCCTTCTCATCTTGTTCCCTATCCTACTCTGATGTCTGCCTAATATCCCAGAATTTATATGCTCATGATCAAAGCTTTTTTTGGCCCCATGACTTCTATCCTGTTTTGTTCCTAATGCATTATCTCAGCCTCAGTCTTTCCTTCCCTTCCTACAGTTCCTAGATTTTTTTCCCAGAGCTGCCTTTCTCAGTACAACTGGATCTGTTCCTGTTTCTTTCCAAGTCTTTCCACCTTTCCTCTTTGTTATCTTCCTTTGTCTTGTAGAACAGGTGAGTCAGGAAGGGAAACAGGTGTCTCTTCTAACTGTCTGAGTCATGAGGACATTTAAAAGTCTCAAATGCACTACTGCCTATAAGGGTTGGACTAGTGATCTCCAGATGATCACCAGAGGTCCCCTCCAAGCCTATTCTGTGAAATCCTGATATATTCAAACAGGAATTAAGCTGTCTGCTAATTTTCCAAAGGACGACATCAGCACAAACAAGATAGATGACAAGATCAGACAGTAATGCCAACTTCTTAAAAGAAAGATTGCCTTGCAACAGCTCAGGTATGTCACTCAGACACTAACTGAACATTACTCATGACCTTAACTAATAGAATGCTGTTATGTCATGAAATGTTATCGTCTAGTAGCATAAACAGCTGTTTGCTATTATTCTCTCTCAGTGGGAAAGCAATAGGCTTTCTTTAAAGAATTTTGGAAGAGAGAATTGGTTGTGTTACCCAGTGTTGTGCATTTTGAACTAAAGTGGTGAACTAAATGAGCCTTTGTCTCATCTGCTGACTACCAGTGGTTTCTGAGCAATACACTACCCTCTTGACTATTTAATACTGAGGATGATTTAATACATTCCTGTCCCTAAACATTTTTCTTCCTGATACTTTTTCTTCCTATCCAATTAGGTTCCCATTCCAGATCCTATCTCTACCATCTCTCCCTATCTATCCCATCTCTACCACCACTCCTCTTGCTGCATTAAAAACTGAATCTCTGAGACTGTTTATTACTCCTCTCCTTCTAATTCTTTTCAACACTGAATCATTGCTCTACCTTCATATCCCACTTTCCTCATAAATACACCAAAAATGTTGTCTCAAATGGCTTTCCTCAGCTGCAGGAGGGCAGGGATGTGAAGCACATCTTGTAAAATGTCTGTCAAGCCACACAAGTAATTTTCAGGGACTTTCTAACACCTACCAGTTGTTATGGATATCACTTTATTATCACAGTTACTTACAACAGTTTTAGATTAGCTAAATGTCAACCTCACAGCAACTGCACAACCTTCAGGACATATTTGTGTATATGGCAGACTCCCAACTGCAAAATGATTATTTTAAAAAACCTCTGTACTTCTAAATAAGCATGTATGAAAAAAAAGATTTAAAAAATTACAAAATAGGTTCAGCTACTCAGATTTATTATTTTCATTTAATATATATATTAGTTTTTCTTTTGAGTCTGAAAGCCCATAACAAATTTCACTACTATTTGCTTTCACATTTTCAGTGTATGGGTTAAAAAGAACCGTGTCTATTGGTTAGTGTTTTTTTAAACATTCTCACAGACTTTAGTATTTGAAAAGCATGCATTTTGTTTGAGGAACATATTAGAGGTCACAAAAACAACTTAAGAGTCTATGCACAAAGTCTTACTTGAAAACATTGACAGTCCTACTAAAACAATCAACCAGTTCCTTCTTCCATTTATGAATGTGGTTTTCCCTTAGATGCTAAGCCCATGACATATTTCTCATATTTATATTAAAGTGATGAAAGAAATGCAACAGGGGTTAGGCAGAGCCGCAAAAAAAGAAAGTTTTTTTCTAGTAGTACACAATGGCTTATGGCAGATCAGGCAGATGCAGAAAGTTCTGACAAACTGTAATCAGAGAGACACGACTCAGGAGGTACATGTGTAAATACAAATGCCCCAGTCACCATACTGTGAAGAATCCACATGCAATTAGTGGAACAAATTTCCATTTTATAAGACACGGCTATTTATGCTGGTTTATCTTGTACTGAGGCATAGTCTCATGTATGTGATAATATATTCTGTCACCATGGAAAGGCACGTATATAATGTAATACCAAAGAATAAATTAAAATATTATATGCTAGCAAAGCTTCATTTCTTATTTCAACACAAATAAGGATTTAAAAATGTACATGTGGAATGTAAACACAAGTTTTAAGACTACTATTTGTATTCCCCTCATGCAATTTTCACCTAATCAGTCTAATTTTGCTGAGTATCTAGTTGAGCTGAGATAGTTGTCTTTAACTATTTAATTAGGTATACTCAGTGCAAGACTGGGCAGAAAGCTATTGCTATTTCACCTTTGAATGGTATGGCTTCTGCCCTGATCTAAAATTCTGTTTTTCTTAAATAAAAGCATCCTGTGAAATCAGTAAGATACCATTTTGGTAAGGGGACCTGGATTTGAACCAAAATTATGCTATCATAAGGATATGAGCATTCTGTAGATTTCTGGTCATACACTTCTATGCCTAAAACAGAAACACAAGTTAATGCTTTTGGTGAAAGTTTCCATAATGCAGTATCTCACAAAGATTTGCACATGAATACAGCTTTAATTAAACAGAAGTTGACTCCTACCCAGAAATTGCTGCTAGTTTTTGATGAGCCTCATAGGCCATCTCACATCCCCGGGTTCGAGTTTTGTGCAATTCTGCATGCAGAGATGGATAGGTGACAGAGATATCCCCAATAGAAATGACCAGCTCCCGGTAGAGAGCCACCTGGGTATTGAACTCCTGGACAAGCTGAAAAACAAAGAGGATTTACATGCATGAGAATTTTTAACTATGATGGTAAAAGAAATCAAAGTTTTTAAAAACATGCCCAATCCAGGACTTGTTCCTGCTGCTCACAATTTCAGGGCAACAGGATCAAGAGCCCAAGATTTAGTAAATGACTAGGGCCTTTGTGGCAGCTGCTTCTTTTGTGAGCTATAAATGTTCATCTGTAGGAAAGAAGTATTTTTGCTTTTAATATCTGAAAGCATTTAAGCTAGTAGTAATAAATATTCAGCAGACAAAAAAAAATGTTTTACTAGTAGCATGAGGTTATTTTTTCTATCATAAAAGACAAAAATATCTCCAGAAATTGTTGCTTTTGCTCCTCCTGCTTCCTGATTAACAGTACATTTAGGGATTGGAATGTAGTACTTGCTTTTACATTGGCAATTTTGCTAATTTATTTTGTAATGATTTCTGTTCTGTTACTTGCCTCCAACCCAGATTTTAGACTTTAAACTGATCGGTAGTTATTGTCTGAGAAGGTGTCTCAGACATGCGTTTTCCTGTTACAGTTTCAGAAAAGCACCTTTACTAACGTGTGTGTGAGAAAAAGAAACAAGGAAGTAAATAAACAGTTCAGCCTTTACAGAAATTCAATATCCACCAGATACATATGGATGCTATTGGATAAATGGGTAATTTTACAGTGATGGAAAGATCATTATTGTTTAGTTCCAGTGATCATATATTTTAAGGAAATGAAGCATTTGCTGTCTTCTGAACGAAAGTGCATAAGACCATTTGCTCCACATGGGGGCGGGGATGGAAGGCATGGAGTAATAGAACAGAATATTTATTTATCTGTGTTTTGACCTCAATTTCCAAACTTCATAATAACAGACAAGAGTAATTGCTCATAATTCTCCAGTCATAATTACCACCAGAGGTACAACTTACCCAACATAGACAAGCATGCTAAGAACCTGGAGTCTATGAAAGCTACCAGTATTTAAAGTCAAGCCCCCAAAGTCTTCTGCTCAGGAAATAAATGAGTCTCTTCTCCTGCAGTATTACATTCTGATCCTTCATTTATCCCACTGCAATTACTCTATATAGCTGGGAAGTGGTCACAGGCTATTGTTTTGGCCACACTTTCTAAAATTTCATTGTAAGAAGAGCAAATGAGATTTCTCTGCTACTGAAGCAGCACATCAATCCAAGTGCACTTCAGTACATCTGAACCCACCTGCCCCCAGACCCCAGACAAACCAAAAAGCACACAGTAAACAAAGCCCTAGGCAAAATATTTGCTAAACAGGTCTTCAACTCCCTCATTACATAGCTTAAGAAAACGAATAAAGGCAATGGAAGAGAAAACAATTGTACTAAGTTGTGTCATAGTGTGATTATTATGCATGAGGAAAAAGAGAAAAGCAGGGTATCCTGCAACTGGTAACTGGATGCACCAGGCACATTTTGCCTGTTCTCACCTGACATCCCTTGTCCTCACACTCATTCTGTCACCTCAGCATTAGCCAGGAAAACAAAACCACACAGACGTTGCTGAATCGAGATAGAGAACAAGACAGAAATACATTGATTTTACCTCTTGAATATTACTGCCACTTGACAGCCCATCTGTAAATCATATTTTATTTCTAATCAGTGAATTCCACAAAGGCAGCATTTCTCCATAGCTAACCACATTATGGTGCCAGGAATGAGAAAAAAAGCAGAACCCAGTAAGATTCACTTGTTGGGTGTATTTATAGAGGTACTGTGGCAGCTTTTGTTCCACCATGCACTGGGAATTGCTCCCAATTTTGAAGTATCAGAGTGGGTAATTTGCCAGCACATTTTTCAGTTCTAGAGGGAAAAAAAATTGCCGGAATAAAGCAGAACAGTAGCAGCTCCATTTCCCATGCTACTGGACAGAGCTTTCGCAAGGTCCAGATTTTTCATATAAAGTATCAGCAACTTCATTTGTTTTCTACTTCTCTCACTGGTTAGAGGAGCAATTCTGGGCTCCAATGTCAGGTTGACAGTAGCTCAAGGAGCCATAAGAGGGATATATGGCACTGATTTGGAGGAAAGTGTCAGGATCCAAGCATTTTAACATGAATGGAGAAAAATCTCATACCATAATGTGACAGTCCAAAAAATAACATGGACGCAGGAGTTTGACCTGAGGCTTTACAATTGCAGTCATCTACTCCGGGACGACTAGTAGCAGCTACCACACACGCCCGGGACAGAATTTCACGGCCTCAAATTCGGAGTCCTGTTTTAGAAGGATTTTAGGGCGAGAGTGTGGTTGCTGAACAAAACAGCAAGGAGAGAGGGCAGTGATTAATTGGAGGCCACTATTTACCCATTTAGGCTTCAGCGAGCGCAAGTCTGGGAACATATTTGGACGGCTGTAGCAAAAAGCAACTACACTGCTTCGCGGTGCGTGTTCTGGGGCTCGGGCTCCGGCTCCTGCTCCCGCAGCCTTGCCAAGGGTTGCCCCGCCTGTGCCGCCGCACCCAGCCCGATCCCTGCGCGTCTCCCTTTAGAGCCACCGCGAACTGGGGTGCAGGGCAGCACCTCGACGGGGACTGCGGCTCTAAAAACAGTGCAACTGCACGTGATGGGAATAGCCAAGGTGGAGGGAAGAGCGGCACCGCCGCCCCCGCAGGGGGAGCTCGGGAAAAGTGAAAACCGTGGGAAGCCGGCGCGCGGTACCCACCATCTTACAGTCGTCCAGGGCTCGCTGGGTCTGGTAGGCGCTGTCGGAGCCGCTGCCCCGGCGTTCGCTGTCGCAGCCATGCGGCGAGGTCTTGCCTCCCTGGAAGATGGAGGCGGCGGAGCGGGGGCGCTTCCTGCGCCCGCTCGGTGCCGCGCTCATGCACACGCATCCGCCGCGCGGAGCCGCCCGCGGGTGCGGGCAGCACCTTCCCCGCCGCCGCCGCCGCCGCCGCCCCCGCCGAGGGGAGCGGGCCCGCGCCTCTCGTCGCCTCGGCCCGGCCGGAGCCGCGCCGCTCACGGCAGCGAGTGCGGCTGCTGTGGACGATCGCCTGGCGCCTGGGGGAGAGGCTGGGGAGAGCCCTGCAGCATCGCCTCGGCTACCGCGGGGAGAGGCGGAGGGGCTGGCACTTGCCCTCCTTCAGCAGCATGTCAGTCCCCGCGGAACCGCCCCGCCGGTGGCATGCTCCGCCGTCCTCCTTCCTGCAGCTGGCGTGGGGGGATGAGCGCAGCAGTGCCCGGCGGGGAAGGGCTCCCCATCCAGCGGCCGCTGAAACGCGCCCCGGTACTCGCGGCAGAGAAGCCCGACCCACCGCGGAGCGTCTCGCCGAGGGCCCGCTGGGAGCGGCTTGGAAGGGCCGGTGGAGCCCGTCGGCTGACACCATCAGCAGTACCGCCCCCATGGCCCGGAGCACCGCCCCCCGCGCGCGCCCGCGGCCGCGCCGCACCCACCGGGGTCCCGCAGAAAGAGAGTGGGGGCTGCTCCTCCACCTAGAGCGGGCCCGGGGCGCCCGGGGACGGTAAGGGCAGCGCCCGCCCAGCGTTTGTCGAATACCTATCTTCAAGAGGCGTGCTTGGAAATCACTTTTCTGTTTAACAAAGACTTGGTTCACTACTCAAATTTTGTCAAATTTAATCAAAAATTAGAGTGTCCAAACGAGGGCAACGGGGATGGTAAAGGGTCTGGAGAGGAAGCAGTATGAGAAACGGCAGAGGCCACTTAGCCTGTTCTGCCTGGAGAAGAGGAAACTGAGGGGAGACCTCACTGGGGTCTTCAGCATCCTTGTGAGGGGAAGCAGAGGGGCAGGTACTGATCTTTGATGTGACCAGTGATAGGACTCGAGGAAGATGCATAGGGGGAGGTTTAGGTTGGATATCAGGAAAAAGTTTTACACCCAGAGGGTGGTTGGGCACCGGAACAGGCTGCCCCAGGAAGTGATCAACAGTGCCAAGCCTGCCAGAGTTCAAGAAGTGTTCAGACAGTGACCTCAGGAACATGGGGCGTCCTCTGCAGGGCCAGGAGTGTGACTCAATGATCCTGACAGGTCCCTTCCAACTCAGCATATTCTATGATTCTATGATTTAGTTTCTGTCACTAAAAACCATTGTACTTTGAGGCTCTGTGAAAATGTCTGGGGTGTGTGATGCAACTAGACTGTATGTGTTCATTGTAGAAAAGATTAAATAATAATCAAATGGAGAAATTGTTTACTCTGTGCGCCAGTACCACAGAATGGATTCAGTTCATCAGGCTGATGCTGTCACTCCTCCCAGACCTTGGGCACCACCCCTTCCAATGCGGAGGGCTGTGGGGCTTTGCCTGTGCTGTGTCTGCAGCTCCCTACCCTAGGACTGCTCAGGGACCCCACTGCCCAGGGCTGAGCTATGACCTGAGCCAGCTTCAACTCCAGGGCTGGTCCTTTTCCTCTCTGTAGCCAGGTGGCTAGAGCTGTTTAGCTAACTTCTGATATAATTGTGTTTCTTCAGGCTATTGAATAAAAGGTTTTTTGTATTTTGGTGTTGTTCTTGAATCCAAAGTAACATCAAACACATCACACAGAGTAATGTAGTCTTGCCAAGGAGCTTGAGTATGCCGGTGATGGCACTTTGGCAGGTTAAGGGACTCTTTTCAGGCTGTGCTGAGCATTACTGTAACATAAACTTATAGCTACTTTAGTCTGGACATTGTCTATTAATCTACTCTGAAACTCTTTTTAGACATTTCCTACCATTTTTACAGAAATGGAATCTATTGAATGTGAGATAATGTTGATGGATTTGCATCACTTAAAATTGCTGTTATCATTTTAGTTAAAACTAAAATGACCTTGTAATTGTAATGTTACTTTTGTAAATATACTGCTAGATTTTTGGCATTCAGAGCACTTTGCAAGTGCTATTTTAGGGACATCATTTTTTTTCATAGATAATTCTATTACTCACAGGAAATAAATGCATGAGCTTTGAGTCAGGACATCATATTGCTATGATATACAGAAAAAACATTTCTGGATGACAAGAAAATATTTTTAATACTGCCAAAAAGCAAAATAAACACAACCCCTCCTAACATTTATACTGATAAGGATAGTTGTATACATATATATTTGTAAATGGAAATTAAAACATGATACTATGCTATATCAATGCTAGTGTTTTAATTGTTGCTCATGTACCATGTTAGTCATATGTTCTAGTCTTATTTTAGTCTATTTCTTGTCTTATTAAGAGCTACCACAGTAGCAATAATGAAATAATGCTAATACTAAAACCAACAACAGTAACAATAAATCTACCAAAGAGTGCAGCACTTTTGCTTTCACATTACCTGCCTTGGCTGAACTTCTTGTCCCTTGAAGTCAATGCCAAAGTCCCATTGGCATTTAAAAAATACTGGAATCTAGTTCCTGGTGTTTTATCTGCCCTGCATGAAGCTGAGTCACAGCTCAGGCTCAGTTTTGCCCTCCTGCCAACGTCTGGAACAGTTTTGAAGTCCCATTTTACTCCTCACTGTTTGTAAATTCAGTATGTCCACATTTAGAAGTAGATTTGGCCTCTGAAGTCATCATGGAATGCAATGAATTTGATGGCACCCTAGGGTTATGTTGAAGAAGCAAGGGTGAGAAGGATCAACTCAGGCTGGGATGCATAAGAAAAAATTATTTTTGTAGGCATCCCCATTCTCGGGATGAGGGAAAGAGCTCCCAAGCTAAGCCACCATATGCTGTCTCAGGGTGGGCAGACTGGGTTTGAAAATATGTATCACCAGGAAACAAAATGCTCTCTTGAGAAAACAGAGGTATATTTTGCAAAACTGTCCTGAAAAGTGAGAGACATGATTCCTTCCCTTGTCTGAACTAGAGTTTTGTCAACTTTTCCTTATTCTAGCTTCATTTCTTGATGTTCAGTGGGTTGCAAGTAGCAGGGGCTTGTTGCTCCCTCCCATGGCATCCTCTCAAGACCACAGGTAGGTAACCTTGAGATAAGTTGAGAGAGTACATGGCCTCTTAAGTAGTCAAATTCTTTGAAACTTGACAACTCATAATGAACTAAAAGGATATCTGTAGGCTTTCCTCTACCTAGCCTCTATGGTAATTCTAAAAAATGAACTCAGATGAACTTACTTTTTTTATTTGTGAGTTTGTCTTGTTCCATTTTGTTGTAATCGTTGTCTAATCCATTTATTGCTCTGGTTGTTGGCTTCTGGTAGTATTTCCCAAGGGTGAGCAGAATGTAACAGACTAGATAAGTTATGAAAGCAACACTGATTATCTGAGAAATGTGATGTCTTTGTAGGAAAAAGTGAAAAAGAGGCATGAAATATAGGAGGAAAAAGGCCATTTCTGTAGAGATATGTAGAGAGAAGAGGAAACTGAGAAACAGGTACTGAAGAAAATAAAGAATTTCTGCATGATCTCCCCAGGACAGAAAAATAAAATGTAAGTTTAACATTATATTTAAAATGAAAACAATAACAACACAGACTTTTCCATATTTCTTTACAATATTTTTTAAAAGAGAAGGTAGACTGCCTGTCTTTCTAAGTTAGTAGGGTATATTTTAAACAAGGCACAGGTTTATTCCCTGGAAATGCAGGATCAGATCAGTGTCTGAAGATAAAGTACTTGATTTTTGTACCAGGCTTCATGTGGAATAAAACTGTTCAGCTATCACAAATAATAATGTATAATGCTTCAATGGCCATTTCTGTTTTATTAATCATTTTGTACAGACTGGCATGTTAGGGAAAGGAGGGTCATAGGAGATATAGTGATTCCATAAATAAGTCTTTCATGTATCCAAAGTGTTAGCCTTCCTTCAGAAATCCTCCAGCAGTGGCAGCTCCCCTTACCCTTTCTCTTCAGCCTATGCTCAGTGCAGGGTTTACCAAGTCAAATCACTACTTTGACTTTGTAGCAAAGATTGGACATTAATGTATTCTGTCCATCAGTCTAATACCAATGTATAGAAAAGTATCATATTTAGTTTTTTTAGAAGTCAGTACAGGTTTTGTGACTATCCTGTGAAATTTATAGTCACAGTTCAACAAACACAGGCAATATATTCAATATATTGAGATTGTAAAAAAACCAGAAACACTTTCCTAAGTTCTATTGTCTTAAAAGTCTCAATAATTTCCAAGTTCAATTAGGAAACTGATGTCCATACACTGTATTAGCAGAGGAAATGCTGAGGAAGAGGCTTACTTTGCTTGTCATCACTGGAATTTTTTTAAAAATGTAGCCATTAGAGAATGTGTCTGTATCTGTCAGCCTCGTATAAGCATGTTGCTCTTGGTTATGAATGCATGAAACAACATGCTTAAGCTAGCAAAAATGTAAAAATGGCTAAGTCTGCTTTACTTGCCTTCTCTATAAGTGTTGCAAAAAATTGTTTCTGACACATAAGTCATCTTGAAGAATCTAAAAGTTGTGGTAAGATTTTTGACACTTTTCTTTAAATCAGAGAATGAATGGAATTCTAAATCAGATAGTCCAGGATATGTTCCCACTTTCTGTATTTCCTTTACCACATATATTTACATATGTAAGTCCACATGAATTTGTGTGGAAATACCTATGAGAGCACTCAGGTAGCTAGTCAATGAACTGTTTCAAATTTAGGTGGATTTACCCAACATAATGTAAAATTTAATGGCAAGGAAGTCCAAGAAAATGGCCGATAGAACCAGATATTTTTTGCTTTCACCTCTATAATTTTTTTTTAAAATATAGTATCAGTACTAATATAATGGTAGTGTCATCAGCACTTCCATTATTAAGAAGAAAAAAAGGTCTACATTAAAAAGCCAAACATTAGCGTAACAAATCTTCAAACTGCAGAAATTAAGAATTATTTCTGAAATTAACATGGTTAATATGAGTTTCTCATTATGAAAGTATCAATAGAATAATTTACTTTTAGCTTTAGTGTAGAAAGATAGAGAATGATTGCAATAAATA